GCTCCCTGCATGGACTCCTGGGGTCTGGGGACCTGCCAAGTGTATGCAAAATCCCTATTTGGGGTGTGTAGTTCCCAGAGAGGAAGCACCTCTTTCACTAGGTGCCCAAGGGTCTCTCACCCAAAAAGGTGACAGCCTGGCTGTGGTGGTTCCTCTGCTGCAGCCCATGCAGGGCCGTGGGGCACCAGGGGGGCTTCAGACTTGGCCTCGGACACAAGGCCCTGAATTCAAATCATTTCCTACCTTCAAATGCAGACAGGAACGTCTGAACTGCCTCAGGAAAAGGCTTTCGCTTTAGGGTAGCGGGTCTCAACCTGTGGGCCGCGTCCCCTTTGGGGGTTGAACAACCCTTTCACAGGGGTCGCCTAAGACCATCGGAAAACACATATATAATTACATATTGTTTTTGTGATTAATTTCTATGCTTTAATTATGTTCAATTTGTAACAATGAAATTGGGGATCACCACAACATGAGGAACTGTGTTAAAAGGTCGCGGCATTAGGAAGGTTGAGAACCACTGCTCTAGGGGCTGCCTGGCCTTGTTTCCTCAGAGAGGACGGCTAAGAGTCAGAGCCCCACGCCTGAGTCCTCATCAGGGCTAGTGAGCCAGAAGGGGGACCAGATGGAGAGCGCAGGGTCTGGATGGCTTGGGGCTGGGCAGTGAGAGGAAGAAGCCGTCTCCCGGGGTCTGGGCAGCACTGGCCTGGCTGCAGGTACCTCACCCACGCCCTCCTCCACCAGCCCCCAGCCAGGGGCTCCCAGAGCCTCTTCCTGGAGGACCTGGCCTGTGCCCTGTAGTAACTTAGATTTTCTTTCCCCACTGGGCAAGGTCTTATAATCAGCCAGGTCTTTAAACTATTTATAGCACCATTTTCAAAACCCATTCACACACTCTCTCCTCTATCCCCAGGACACCCCTGACTGGTTGGACAGGTTCTCTCCTCCCTGCCAGGTGCTGTCACCCGCTCCATAGGGAGTTGGGCTGTTTGGGGAGCTGCCTCACGTACTTGGCTACAGAAGGGCAGGAAGGGGTGTCATCGGCAGACCACACTGTTTAAATCCCCAGCAGGGAGTGCGGTTCTGTGAAATTGGCTCTGGGAGCAGGAGCGGTCCTACACCCCTGTCTCGCCCGACTGATCCCCGGGTGCCTGCAGACACTGCCTATGCGGCCCGAGGTCTCCGGTCTCCGGTCTCGCTGGAACCCACAGCCAGGGGCCTCACTCTTTTACTGGCGTGTTTTCAAATTCCCATCTCACTTTTAGAATAAAGTCATAGGCAGCTCTAATATTTAAATTGCGGTTTGAATTGTGCTGTCCTATATACATGGAGTGATCGTAGGCCCCAAGGTGCCGGGGACAGCCCGCTCACTGCTCAGGGTGTAGACCGCTTGCAGTCTGGTCCCCTCAGGGACCCTGCATTCCCGACCCCGGACAGCTGAGAGAGTCCGCATTCTTTCTATTTGCTTTTGGTTTGGAAAGCCCCAAAGATGGAGGGGTTTGCTGACCCTGACCCCCAGCTCCTCCTGAGGCACCCACCCCACCCAAGGGAAACTGAGGCACAGAGACCCCCGCCCTCCGATCTCCTGCAACTGGCTCTTCCTGCCGCCACGCTCGCAGGCCTCCCGAAGGCCCGAGGGCGAGGCGAGGCGTCTCCAGGTGGGACGGTGGCTGCAGGGACCTGGCGAGGCGGGGTTCCTCATTTGATAAAAGCAGACTTTGATGGTTCACCTGCATTTTAAACTCCTCTCCCCGCACCTGGTCCCAGAACAAAGCCAGCTGTCTAGACACGGAGCTGAGGAAGAGCGCGGCTCGGGTGCCAGGTCTGCCTGCGCCGGGTCTGCAGAGGAGGGCGCGTCCTGGGGGCGGGCCTGCGGGGTGAAGCAGGTCCCCCTCCCCGCGCCCTTCCCTCGCAGGCCCCGGCTTCCGAGGACGTTCAGGAGAGCCCTTTGCACCCTGTCAAGGCGGGGTGGGGGGTGGCCTCAGGATCCAGACTCGGTGAGCGGGTCTCTTGTAGCCACTTGTAGCCGCAAAGCGCCCGCTCCCCCTGCTGGAGCCGCGTGTCCTCGCCGTCTGCGCTCGGAGCACAGCCCGCAGCGTGGAAGCCGCCGTCTTGGCACAAGTCCCAGCCTCCCGTCTGAGCAAACTGCTCGGCCTTCAGCCTTTGACTTCAGTCACCGGGAGCCACATTAACACGCTGTAAAACAGCGGCTACAGTCCTTTCCTTTGGGGCTGGAGGGAAAAAGAATGGCTGCATGTAGGACAGAAAGAGGGACACCGCTTTAGCAATCTGACTCCCCGGGACCTCCTGGTGTCTCAAGAGCAGTGTCCACACACAGCGGGGCCCTGCTCCCGGCCCAGGCCGGAGGGAGCGGCGAGGCCTGGCGGCTCGGGAATGGGCTGGAAACACACACACACACACACACACACACACGTACACACACACACACACACACGTACACACACACACACACACTTATTCTGCAGGGAAGGTGGCTGCTTACCTGCCTGCCGCCTCCCCCGCCTCTAATGAACAGCCCGGCCCGGGGCAGCCCCTCCTGGACCATCACAGGAGTTTAACGCGATGAAGCCCACCATGGGTTACCACAAGTTAAAAAGAAACCCTAGTTTTTACAAAATGAAACCGACCAAGAGCTGGGGGCCATGAGGGAGCTTTTAACGTTGGTTTGTACGCCCTACGTTACAGGGGGAGATGAACAGCCTCTGCCAGGTTTTCTTCTATCACTACTCAGAAATATTGTGTAAATTCAGATAAAATACCAAATTGTTTATCCCAAATTATCTTGGTTCCAATCTGTTTCACAAAGGAAGACGCGAGCGGCAGTGAAGAGCCGGCTCTGGATCTGTGACCGCAGCACATCCCCCTTTCAGAGGCTTAAGAATCCTATTGGAAGTCTCCTCTCTGGCTGAAGTGAGGGCTGTTCTGTTAAAATGGGAAAATTCGCCCTAACCAGTTTGGCTCAGTGGATAGAGCGTCGGCCTGTGGACTGAAGGGTCCCAGGTTCGATTCTTGTCAAGGGCATGTACCTTAGTTGCAGGCACATCCCCAGTAGGGGGTGTGCAGGAGGCAGCTGGTCGATGTTTCTCTCTCATCGATGTTTCTAACTCTCTATCCTTCTCCCTTCCTCTCTGTAAAAATCAATAAAATATATTAAAAAATAAAATAAAATAAAATGGGAAAATTCCGTGTGGAAATCTTTGTGTGGGGCTCTCTGACCGTAATAGGAGAGGAGGGGTGGTGCCTGGGGTGAGAGAGGCAGTCGGGGCCCGGCCGTCATTGGGACAATGGACCCAAACTCGCTTTAATCCCGACACTGGTCAGCTCCAGACCCTCCACCTGCCCTGCTCCCAACCCCCGGCGCACAAATGCCTGCTCTGGT